CACACAGCCAGACTGCAAAAGCACAACAGCAGAGGTCCAAACAGGATCACAGCACAGATATCGTGCCTGGATCAGATCCACAACTCACGAACGCTGGTGGTACTAAGCCGATTATTCACCATTTAAATGCTCCTGACCTTATAAAACGTGACAGGAAAGGCCAAAACTGAACGCAGAAGTTTCTGGTTGCCTCTCCCCTTGCAGGCACCACGCTGAGCACACAGCACGAACAGGCAGGCCAGCACACGCATTACCTTGTTTCTGGCTTGCTCTATGAACTCCAGAGGAGCCTTCCCGAACTGAAACGCAGCTCCAAACCAAGGGATCCAGCTCCCGATACACGGAGGGGAGCTCGGGTTTCTCAGCTGCAACAAAAGAGCCTTGACGAGGAGGAGTCCCAGGAGCGCTGCCAAGAGCAGGGCCGGATCCATGTTGCCGCTCCGGGGCAGGCCCGGCCCGGCCCGGCCCGGCCCGGCCGCTGCTCCGCCCGCCGCGGCCCCGGCCCGGCCCGGCCGCGCTCCGAGCTCCGAGCCCGGCGGGGGGAGCGCCCCGAGCGGCCCTGCCCGCCCGCCCTGCCGCGGGGACACGCTGAAAGCACCGAGCAGCACAGGGCACGAGCCTTGTTCTGCAAAACAGAGCCGCTTCTGCCCTGGCCTGGGGTGAGGACCAATTCTGCCGCTTGCAAAGCCTAGATGTTGCTGCGGCAAAGCCTTGGACTTTGCACCAGCTGCTGGAAGGCCACCCGGGCAGCCAGGGACACGACCAGGGACACTGGCAAAGCAGTGCTGAGCCTTCTTCAATTTAAAAAGTATATGTGTTTTTGCAGTATTGTGATTACAAAGCAGCGAGCCTGTGATTTGCAGACATTTATCTTTCAGCGAGTCAGAGATGGCAAAAAACTTCTGCAGGCATCACCTGAAGCAGAAACCTTAAGAAAGGTATCTCTCACCTGTCTGAGATATCTCATTAAAGGCTAGATGTGTGTCCAGTGTCTGAAGAGCAGAGAAACACTTCTGAGGTTGAACAGACAGATCAAAACCTGCTGGCCACATCTCTTATATCAGCACCATGTCAGAAGACAAGGTTTCAGAGAGGTCAGATCAGTTCCTTTGCATTTGTGAAAGTGGCACATCAAAATTACTTTCAGAATACATTAAGTATAAAAAGCCCCTAGGAAGTGCTGTCAGCATCTACCCCCACACACCCTCAGCAGGTTTGAAGAGTACAGAAAACCAGGAGCAGTGGCTGACAGACCAGATGAGTGTGCTGCCACTCAGGGGACCCCAGAAGGCTGGAAAATGGGCAGAGAGGGACTTATCTCAAAATCGGAGAATAACGGCTCAGAAGGGCCCCCAAAGATCCCCTGGTTCAGCTTTTCCTGGCCAAAAAACAAAACAAAACAAAAAAAAAAAAAACAAAACAAAAAAAATCAAAACAAAAAAGGACTTAATGAAGTTCAGCAAAGGGAAACGCCAAGTTCTGCCACTGGGTAGGAACACCACCATGCACCAGTACAGGCTGAAGGGGCACCTGGGTGGATGGGAACTTTGCAAATCTGGGGTCCTGGTGGACACCAGGTTGAACATGAGTCAGAGATGGACCTTTGCACTCCAGAGCACCCTGGGCTGCATCAGGGAAAGTGCTGGCAGCAGTTTGAGGGAGGTGATCCTCTGCCAAGGGTGAAGTGCCAAAAAGAGCTGGAGCATCTGTCATTTGAGGAGAGGCCGAGGCAGCTGGGACAGCTCAGTCTGGAGAAGAGAAGGCTCAGGGGGATCGTCTCAGTGTGTATGAACACCTGAAGGGAGGGAGCAAAGGGGATGGAGCCAGGCTCTTTTCAGGGTGCCCAGGGAAAAGGCAAGAGGCAGTGGGCATAAACAAATACAGATACAAATGCAGTTTAACTCTTCCTATACAGGAACAGGTGAACAAACAGGAAAGTTTGTTCCTTTGCAGACAGGCAGTACAGTAAAAGTAGCACAGCAGAAATGCACCTGATAGTAGGAGGTTAAGAGCTATGAAAACAGGTGTATGTTCTTCATTAAACAGTCATTTTGAAATACCTTGGGATGTCATGTGTTGGTTGTAGGTGCAGAAGAGCAAGCTCACAGATGTCAGCTATGACAAATAGGGTGTTGATCTCCATTTTGCAAACTGTCTGGAACAAACAGATAGCTGTGTTTAGCTATCACAGCTCTTTATATGTTTATTTCCTGGTTTTATTTTATCCATTAAATTATTTCTCTTCCTATAAAGGGGTAAAGTTATAAGAGAGCTAAAGGCCTTATAATATTGGAGAAAATACATATTATCATTTTATGCATGGTATATTTTCATTAACTGACAGTAGTGAGTTTGAAGGTCAGGTCAGACAAGTCCTCAAGCCTCTGTGAAGACATTAATTAAGGAGTTTTGTGTTTGTTTTGGTCTTTTTTGTTTGTTTTGTTTAGGTTGTACTTTTAGGGCATGATTTGGTGAAGGACATGAGATGCAAGGCACTGTTGTGAGGAGGACACAACCAGTAGGAATGTGCAACAGTCACTGCCAAACTTTCCTTGGGCTGGGCAGTGGTTAATGCTTAATGGTTTTTCCAAGTCTACTAACGCAGAAGCACAGGTGAAGTCTTGCTGTCTTTCTCCAGCTCCACACAGTTGTCCCAGACTTCACTGCTGTGCTTCCACTCCATCTGAAGTTCACTCTCCCTCCCTGTGTATGTAGCCTTTGGTCAAACTGGCTTGGGACAGAAACCAAAAAACTCCATCTCACTGAGAACTGAATTAAATTAATTGGAAGGTATCGCCGGCTGGGGGCTATATACAAGTCATGAAGGGGACGGGACTGCTGCAGAACGCGTCTCGAGCTGCTTATTTTTTAGCATCAGTCTCATTACATGGTTATGACAATGGGAAGATGCCAGCAGCTCACATCCCAGGCAGCAGACCAAGAACTTAATGTTACAACTTACTTGAAAAGCTTTTTGACCAATCACACAAAGCAAAAGCATATTGACAGTAGTTCTATCCAATCACTATAAATACACATACCTTTGGTTAAAACAATGCTTGCTTATTTTGAGTACAATACTTGCTTGTAAGCCTCAAGATACAATGCACAGAGCTCCATTATTAAACTTAGAACTTCTTAATATCTCACCAGATATACTTTTCTGCAACTTAGGGAGTTATTCTACCCAAGTGTTAATACACAGACCATTGTTCTATTTGTCCTTTCTTTCTACTTCTTGTATAATTTTTCTGCTGACAAATCTTGTAGCTACTGCTTAGCTCTAATCACCATCCTGCTGTCTCTGAGGCCTGCCTTTTGCAACGTGCCCAAAACCCTCTGATTTTAAGGAATCCCACAGGAAGGGTCCCCTCTGCTGGTGCTGTCTTCTCTGGATTCGGGGATGTAGGAACTCCAGGAGTTTGATGTCTCTCCATGAGTACTGGCCCTTGTCTTCTCCACACATCACAGAGATGTCTATGCAAGCATCCAACTCTAGTCAGGCTCATTTCAAAGGTCCTGTGGGAAGAGAATATTCCTCTTCACAGTCATCCCCCCAATCATCTGGTTTAAAAAAGAACCTATTTCTTCAGGCTAAAAATGACCATGGAGAGCTGCTCCTTCCATAGGATGCTGCAGTGCTATGAGGTTTACTTTAAGGAGGGATCTAGTTGTTGTTTTCCACTCCATAAAGCGTGGTTATAGAGAAAACAGAATGAGCCTGTCCCCAGAGGTGTACAGCTAAAGGATGGTTGTGAAACCCTAATCCTGGGAGGTTTTCAGGGGACCAAACAAGACCTTGGGCAACCTGATGTAACTCTGAAGCTCTCCCTTCTGTGACAGAGGACTGTAGGATGACTGCAGGTGAACTCTACAAGTCTGTCTCTAGCTCACATTATGAGTAATGATACACAGGCTGATAGAGTGTGGCACAAGCTGACTCAAGCCCACAGAACAGCTGTGGAGGGAGGCACAAAGTACCACAGCAGATGGCACAAACTGTCCAGAAACAGGCTCTGAACCATTCATACCTTCCATGCAGCCAGGCACGTTTGCATAAGATTGCAATATCCCCTTTCACCATTTTTAACCACAGCTTTCTCAGGAGTTTGTTTTATCCCTGCATGAATTCTAATGAACTTTAACCCCAAGAAGGATCCAATTTAATACCAGTTACTGGTGACCAGTGAGACAGATTCATCCAACTTCAACTCAATATTTTTCACCTGCAATGCTCCCTTAATTTGTCTCAATTATTTTGACAGGGACCACACACCAAAGCTTTAGGCAGTCAGAGATGTGGGGAAGTGTTCTGGGATAAGTTTCTTTGACCAAGAAAATCCTCAAATCTGCCTGAGGATTAATGACTAATGGCTAATGATTAACTTAGGGATTCAGCTGAGCCTTAATGATAAATGCAAAGCTTCTCTTGAACACCACATACTTTTTTTTTTTTTTTTTTTTAAATTATGAGACCCTAAATAGATCTACAATAATTTAAGAGAAATTAGGACTGGCACACAACAGGAATTCAGCACTCAGCCAGGAAAAGCTTTAAACTTTTCACTTAAGAGCTCTGAGAAGTGATCCATTTCTGCCATCCCAGGCTGGCTGGGATCCTTGTTCAAACTGCAATGCTGCGCCTAATCAGCAGCCCCAGCTCGGCGCGTCGCTGTTGCTAATGCAGCTCTTACTAAAGCAGATCTGGATCAATTAATCCCTTCCGGATGCGGCTGCTTGACACGGGAACAGAGTTTGGGGCTCCCCAGGCAGTGCTGCCAATGACAGCACCCCGCAAAGCAAACAGACCCCGCGCGTAATCTTGAGCTCTCATTAATGATTACTCTTTTCAATGGAGATGATGGACAAATGCGTGCGTGTGTCTTTACCTGCAGCGCCGGTTTCCAGGCTCGGAGCAGTCTCGGTGACAGACTACATTTCCCAGGAGCCTGTTGCGCCGGAGTGTCTCGTGTCGCTGCAGAAGGACCTTGCAGCTCTGCAGAGCCACTCGGGCTGTTGCAGTTCCCGGGGCTGGCGCTGGAGAAACATGACCTTCAGCAGCTTGTCTCCTAAAGCATCCCGAGCTGATCTGCGCTAGGGCCCGCTCTTGCTGCAGACACACTCGGGCAGGGTGGCTGCTTACCCTCGGTCCATGTGAGATGCTAGATGTCACCTGCAGAAGACGAGAGGAGCTTACCTCTTCCAGAGAGATGGCCCCGAGCCAGCAAATTCGCTCTGTCAGCCTGTGCAGCGGCTGTGGCAGAACTAGGTACAACTCACCGTGGTTTTCCGAGAGGGAAGGGGGGTCAGATTTACTTACGGGGGGCAGGGGGAGCATCAGTCCCCGGATGCCTCATTCCTCAGTGTTCTGCTCCAGCAAATCTGCATTTCACTCTGCTAGTCCTGGCTTTTCCATAATATAAGTGGTTTATGCCACCTGACCGTGGCTGGAGGGAGGGTTTTCCAGGATGAAATCTTTGCCTCGGAGACGGAAGGGCTGCAGTCATTAACTCAGTGTAGTTGTGACTAATTTAAGCTTTGCATTGGCTGGGTGTCCAGAGAAAAAATAAAGAGGCAGGCAGGTATGTTGCCTAAGTTACTAGCAAGGCCTTATTCCTTCAGGAATTGCCTTTTCATAGGCAAGGAAGGTTAATCAAAGAAAAATTGACTCTTAAGTTTCTGGTCACAGTGGAGATGCTTATAAAAATGGAGTTGGAAAACTGCTTGGTGAAACATGGAATATAAGCCCCAATGGCATCTATGTAGTATTGCTTTGGGACCAAGTAACTTATTTTGAAAATTTTTCAGGACGTCCTTTATAATTTCTACAGGCTCTTACAGGCAAGTCAATTACATTGCTCTAAAGATTTGTAACTTCTCAATCTTTGCTAATCTTTAAACATGAATACTAAACTTAATGCACAACTAGACTGTAAGCCTGCTGAGGCTTTGAGCAGTGGCTTCCTTCCCCTGGCACCTGAGTCCTGCTTTGGAAGGACCCTGGTGTGTCTCAGAGGTATCAAAACAAAGACAATCCCTGCTCCTTCCCTGCCACAGGCTGGGAAGGTCCATCACCAGGCACTTCTGGCCTGGAACTGAAATAAGGGGCACAAATATATATCCATACTGTTTCAGGAGCTGCCCTGAGATCAACTTGGATCTCCATCACTGGTCACGAGTTATTTCAGTGAGAGAGATAAGAGGCTAGATATGATTTCTGTGCCTGTATAATGAAAGCAAGCATCCTTTAGGGTAGTTTGTAGGACAGATATGTATCTAAGTTTGTAGGTGAGCCTGAAGGTATGTCAGCATTATGATGACCTCCGTGGGGTTGTTCCTGACCATAACATGTCCTGCCACTGTGCTGGGCAGTGGCTGGACAGAATTGGAAAGACCACATGATAAACTGGGAGATATGACTGGTCTGTATTCAGAGGGAGTAACTGGAACAGGATTCTTAATCCCAAGCCCCTCAGAAGGTACATGTATTGCATACCAAATCTGCAAAACTATGTAAGGGAAAAAGACTGGGTGTTTGACAAGAATGTCAAACATTGTGCCTAGAGCCATTTTTAACAGACCTGGATGAGAATTCTCCTTTTCTCCAGGGATCTCCTGGACGCTGTTGGGTACAGCCCCTGCTCCCTGCTGGTGCCTGCCGAGCCCCTTGGGCGCTGGCAGGGCGTTGTGGTGCAGCTGATCCGGGCACGGGAGGTCTCCCTGCAGCCGCACTCGTATTCACGTGTGTTCCTGGCCCTTTGCCCTCAGTGACATTTCCCCTGGATCTCACGAAAACCCGGCTGCAGGTGCAGGGTGAAGCTGCCGTGCGGCGCGATGGAGCCGCGGCCGGGCCGGCGGTGCCGTACCGCGGGATGCTGCGCACGGCGGCTGCAATCGCGCAGGAGGAGGGGGTACGGAACCTCTGGCAAGGAGCCACGCCGGCCGTCTACCGCCACATAGGTAAATATCTGCTCTGATGGGACACGATGGGTCCTGCCTTCTGTGGCCAAGCCTTTTGGAGTGAGCCTGCCGTATTTTCTTGTACTTTAAATATATCTGTGAGGACTTTTCAGTCTAGCCTGCACTTACACTTTGAAATAGATGAGATTTCAGCTCAATACATCTCTTCCTTCCAATTTCCAGTCCTTCATGGCCTTATTCTGGCTTCTGGAAAAACAAAATATAAGTTCTCTGTCATATTTGCATGAAGGTCTTGTCCAGAAAGTCCAGACACTTAGAGTTGTCAGAACAATAAATGTCTCACATGTGAGTGAAGTGGGGATAGATTGGGAAAAAAGATGGGGAAAAATATGAGGTTGCAAGCACAAGGGAAAAATACAAGTGCTTAAAAGAAATGCATTAGTGGTTTGCCACAAGTAATAGCTTTCTGTGCTTTAGTTGGAAATACAGTGACAGCAGCAAACCTCAAAATCACTTGTGGAGGTTTTGTGCTTGGCATCAGCCCAGAAGGAGGTGATGCAGTCCCATGTCCTTAAGGTGCAGGCAAAGCTGTGCTGCCTCCTGGCAGACCTGTGGCTCAGCCAGAGAGATTTTTTAATGCTAAAACGCCCTGGGCTCTCCCACTGACACCAGGCAAACCCTTCACTGTCCCCATTCTGATCACAAACAAGAGAGCAGTGACCAGATGACCCAGGTGAACTCTGGAGTGTCACAAACCAAGGTCTTGATCTCTGTCTCACTGTGACCTCCAGCAATGGCAGACCCAAGAGCTGTCTCCTGCTTTTGTTTTCCACAGTATACACTGGTGTTCGGATGGTTACTTATGAACATCTCCGTGACTCTGTGCTTGGCAGGGCAGAGGGTGAAAGCTTTCCTCTCTGGTAATGTTGCATATCCATGCATATTTATTGCTTGCTTGGGAATTGTCCTTACTGTAGGAGACCTACAGCCATATCTTAGATCCAAAATGTATTTGGTTTTAGAAGGGGATTGATAAAATCTACTGCAAAATACTCGTCATGCCCAATGCTACAGGAAGGGGGACCTATGGTTTATACTGAAATTTCTGATCTTACCAAAATAAATAGACCCATAAAATTAACACAACTTGATTTTGATACTGCTATTGAAATGCAACTTTAGAATTATTTTTTCCTTAGAGAACATCACTTTTCTAGTAGCAGTGGGAGAGAAAGAAAAGTTGTATATATGAGCAAGCAGTTTGGAATTTCGGTGGGCATCCAGTTATAATACACGGAACATCATCCTTTACTTGTGTACTTTGCCATCCTGCCTTTAAACATTAAGCAAAGACCAAAATTTAACCTTGTTTTGTTTTATTTTTTCCCCTGGTAAGTTTTAACCCTTTTTGAAAATTAACAGAAATATTACTGACTACTTTAACAAGCTGTAGCCACCAAAATTATTACCTTTACTTTGGCTGTTAATATATGGAATAACCATTTACACTTGTTCCACTTGAGTTGTGCTGCTGAACTTTTCAGCACTGTGACCTGTGAAGATTTTCAGTGTATTCTGGAGCACAGTTTTTCTCCATTTGGCAGGAAAGCTGTGGTTGGAGGCATGTCTGCGGGTGCCATTGGACAGTTTTTTGCCAGCCCAACTGATCTGGTGAAGGTGCAGATGCAGATGGAGGGAAAAAGGAAGTTGGAAGGAAAGCCACTACGGTTGGTTCCTCTCCGAGCTGGTGTTTTTGTCCCTCTTACTGATCACTCTTTGGCCCAGGGTGTGATTCTCTGTGTTTTCTGCCACTCCTTCTCCCCAGCTGCTCTGTGCCCTTTTACAGGGAGAGCACCTGATGGCTCTGGGCAGTAAAGAGGGGAGGGATTCAAGACCTCCTCCTTATTCTATTTATACTCATCTTCTTTATTCTGATTTATTGGTCCTAGGGACCACAAACCCAACCTCTGTGCTGCAGCACATCCATGCCAGCACTTTACCATGGGGAGGGAAGGACATTTTCTGAAGACGGAAGAAAGCATGAGCTAAATGGCTTGTGAAGGAAGCACAGGCACAAGGAATGCTGGCACACAGCAGGGCTTGAGACTCTCCTGCAAATACCAGGACATGCTGCTCTTTGCACTCCAAACTGCTGCCATCATTTGGTGTCATGTACATTTAGTACTGTAACCCAGTGTGGGATCTAAGGCTTGTCTGCTGTTAGGGACCAGATCACTGCTTTGCAAGGAAACTGGTATCTCTGGTAAAATATTGTGGCATGAAAGTCAAAGAGAGAGCCAAAAATGGATCTGGAGTGCCAGATCCTTGCAGGTATAAATTCCTAACCTTATGTGAGGACCCAGTGCAGCAAAGTGCTGGAACATGCAAAGATTTCACTGGGCTGTCTACCCACAATTTGCATCTTAATTTCAGGTTCCGGGGTGTGCACCACGCATTTCTGAAGATCCTGTCTGAAGGAGGAGTAAGGGGACTTTGGGCTGGATGGGTACCAAATGTCCAGAGAGCTGCTCTGGTGAATATGGGAGGTAAGTGGAATAACTTGGCCTGCAGCACTTAAGGCCCCACCAAAGCTTTAAGAAAAAGGAGCTCAGCTGCTCCTTTTGTGTTAGTGTCATGATTACCTGGGGTCCTGTTTGGAGCACCCTGCAGGTGATCTCTGCCTTGTGCACCTGTGTTTTGGTCCTGTGGAAATCAAATACCTTAAAAGCAACAGGTTTTACCTGAATTTAAGGAAAAGTGAGGTGCTGAAGGGGTCCCACAGCCAGCAAAGATGGGACTTCACCAGCCACAACCCAGTGTCCAAGTGAGGTGAGCAGAGCAGAGCCAGCAAAGGCAGCCAGGCTTCACCAAGATCCAGATCTGCAGGGCAGTGTGTGGTGATGAGGCAGGTATGAGGCCAAGCCAGGAAGCTGAGCCAGCAACAGGGCTGGTGAGGATCACCCAGATACAGCTCAGCATCATCTGTAAGGTAAATCAGAGCAGATGGGAGCAGAAAGGAGAACGTACTCACATGTCTAAAGACAGGACTCAGGTGCCACAGCCCTGATTAAAACCTGGCGACAGAGTGCCAGCAGTGCCAAAGGCAGAAGCCTCAATGGAAATGAACATCCTGTGAACAGCACAGACACCGTTCACTCCTGACAGTGCTGTTTTTTCTCATTATTCTTTTTACAGATCTGACCACTTATGACTCAGTGAAACACTTTTTGCTTCTGAACACGACACTTGTGGACAATAGTGTGACTCACAGTGTTAGCAGGTGCTGTATTCTCCAATTAGTCCTTTTCCACTGTGGAGCATTTCCAGCCTTGCTGTCTTCATCTGCCTCTCTGTGCCAGCAGAAGACCACATTCTTTGATTTTGATACTGCTATTGAAATGCAACTTTAGAATTATTTTTTTCCTTAGAGAATATCACTTTATAGAAGACACAAGAGAAAGGATGCAGCCATTGCTACGAAACTGCCCTCATTAGAAGTGCCTTGTTGGTGCATTTAAACACCTTTGCTCTAAACTGTGGCACCACAGTGATACAACTTCTGCAAAACATCCTCTTTTTTAAGTGATTAAAAAAATCTACTTTATGTACACAATATTATGAATTGCCTATTGTGGGTCCTTCATCCCTGACTCAGAACTGCACACAGAGGTGAGGGCAGCTGGCACTGGGAGGACATGTGAGCAAGAGCAGTACTAGCAAGCCTCCCAAATCAAGTTTATGTTATGAGTTATTACTCATGATTTGATGATAGCTGTTTTAATACATCCCAATTATAAGAACTGGAACTGCAATGCTGAAATTTTTATGATACATCTTAGTTTCTTCCTTAAGTATCTGTTGCTGTTGGCAGTGCCTGCTCTGGGCTGGTAGCAGCTGTTCTGGGAACTCCTGCTGATGTGGTCAAGACCCGGATAATGAACCAGCCAAGAGATAAACAGGGAAGGTATGGATGCTTCAGAGACCGACTTTTCAGTAGCACATTGAAACATGGGTCTGACTGATTTCATTGAGAGTGCTAAATTGATAATTTTCTTTTCATCTTTCTAGTGATGATTTAGTAAATGTCTGGGGGGTGTTGTTGTGATGGTCACCTAAGCGTAAGCAGTGCATTTCAATTCTGGATTAGACTCCAAGGAGCTTACAAAAGCACTCTGGAATGTAGAAAAATATGAGCTACAAATTATGTTTATGAAGGGGATGTTTTAGTTTTTTTAAAATTGTGTATTTGTAATCCTGACACTGTTCTTCTTGCACATTGCTAGAGGTCTGCTCTATAAATCTTCCATGGACTGCTTGATTCAAACTGTCCGGGGTGAAGGGTTTATGTCTCTGTACAAAGGCTTTATACCAACCTGGATGCGAATGGTAGGTGCTTTTTAACTCTCTTTACAAGAACAATTAGCATTAAAATGTGTGGAATGTGGATGCAGCCCTAACCCTATGTAATATTACAATTTTTGTATGGAAGACATAATCATAGAATTGTAGAATGGTTTGGGTTCAAGAGACTTTAAAGATCATCTCATTCCAAACCATCTGCCATGGGCAGGGACACCTTCCACTTCCTCAGAGCCTGGTCCAACCTGGCCTTCAACACTTCCAGGGATGGGGAATTCTCAGCCTCTCTGAGCAGACAGAGGCTTGGAAACCTCTCTGGTAACTAGAGCAATATGAGACTGAACTTAAGAATATGATTTTTAAGAGGAGACAGTTTCATCTAATGGGCTTATTTATTAGGTTACTTTTGTTTTAAGCCTCTAACTTCAGTGTTTGCTTTCACAGGCACCTTGGTCACTGGTATTCTGGCTTGCATATGAACAAATCAGAAGGTTGTGTGGAGTTACTTCTTTTTAAAACCTTCAATATTCGCAGAGAAGAGTAAAAAAGCTGAATTCTCATTCCACAGGGTAATAAGATCAAATGTATAGCTTTTTGCTCCAAAACCAGCGCTTACTGGTTGGGAACAGCCACGACTTAAGGATACTGTTTGATTGTCAGACTGCTACATGAAATTTATATTATCCACAGGATAAAATTGTTACAACAACACTTCAGCTAGCAGCCAGCATCAGCTTTCTGAACCAGCAAACAGGAATAAAAAAAATTCTACCAAGCAAATAGAACATAATACTGTCTGTTTGTTTGATAATGGAGATGGTTTCTATTGTTAAAACAAGCAGTGCACTGAACAAGTTCTGTGGCTAAGCATCTATAAAATTATTTGTGAATTTTTGTTGTTAATTGCATTTGCACACAGATAAAGAACTATCTCTTGTTAGTTTGATGTGTCAGCAAACCAAGCAAACCAAGCCTAGGTATTGAAAAAGAGAAAAGCAGTTTACCTGATTCCAAATCTGCTTTGCACAAAAACTGGAAGGGTTTGTGTTCCTCTTACTTCCCAGAGACTGCCTGACCTCTCCACTCAACTCTTGGAGTAGGATCATGATTGAAATGCAGTCCTGCTCACAGAAAATCAAAAACCTAGTTTGCTGTGCAATGCTCAAAGGTCTCAGGATGCTCCATAGGACCCAGCTGAACTACTTGTCCTGTGACAATCTGGGTGCTGATGTGGCAGACTGGGTCATTTTCCATGGAAATGTGCACTCTGCCCACTTTAAGTCTCAATGGAAATACAACATTCTCTTCAATAATGCAAAACATTTGAACAGGAGTAATTTATTTTTAAACCTAAAGCCTTCCAGATTTCATGGAGAAGAGTAGTGCTGTTTGTCACTAGGCTGACCTTTGGCAATCAAGAGTCAAAAATGCAGTATTAAAAGCAGCCATGAGTTGCTAAAACAAAGCTGGCTTTGATTTAGTAATATATAGTAATTGAATTAATGTAGAAAACTTGGCTCTTTGAATAAATTCACAGGATTTCTTCTAGTCTTTGCAACCAGTGTCTCCAATGTGCCATTTTTTCACACAGATTGAGTGTCTTCTTGGCTTGCTCTTGTACTTTCTCATTATATTGTAATTCAGTTGTGGCTGTATGCATTTGGGGGTGCACTTCCAGCTTGGAAAATGTTTATCTCACCATTACTAGGGAGTCACAGAACCACAGAATGGGGCAGGTTGGAAGGGAGCACAGTGGCTCATCTGGTCCCTCCTCTCTGTCAAGCAGGGTAAACCCAGAGCACAGGGCACAGGATTGTGTCCAGACAGTTCTGGAATATCCCCAGTGAGGGAGACTCCACAGCCTCTCTGGACAATCCATTCCAGGTCTCAGTCACTGCACAGTAAAGTTCTTCTTCATATTCAGGTAGAATCTCCTGTGCATCAGTCCCAAGGTTTTGTTCAGAAATCCTGGTATTTTTCTAGCTGTCATCCTGAGAAACAAATCCAAGTTCTTTCTGTCCTGTACTCCAGCACCAGCAATGACAAACCAGCAAAGCTGCTGCTTCACTTCCATCCCAAGCACTCCCACCTGCCGTCCTGTTACCCTGATAACCAGGTGATGGATACACAGCTTTAACCTTTCTCGTGAGACAGAATAAGTACTTTTATTATACACTCATAGAACAGTTTGGGTTGGAAGGGACCTCTAAGATCAGTTCCAACCCCCTGCCATGGGCAGGGATGCTTTCCACTAGACCAGGTTGCTCCAAGTTCCATCCAGCCTGGCCTTGGACACTTCCAGGGATTAGGAATCCACAGTTTCTCTGGGCAACCTGTTGCTGTGTCTCACCACCCCCACAGTAAAGAATTTCTTCCTGACAGCCAATCTAATCTTTCAGTTTGAAGCCATTCCCCCTTATCCTGTCACTGCAGGCCCTTGTAAAAAGTCCCTCTCCATCTTTCCTGCTGGCTCTCTTCAGGTACTGGAATGCCACAATTAGGTCACCTTGAAGCTTCTCTTCTCCAGGCTGAGCAATCCCAACTCTCTCAGCCTTTCCATCAAGGACATTTGCTTGACCTCTCTGATCATCATAACCAGTATATTAATTGTAAGCAGTGTATAAAACCACTTTTAGCCTGCATTTATGAAAGTTTCCATGAGCTACTTTTATGGGCACACAGCTTGGGAAACATCACTGAAACTCTTAAGTTTTGTTAGAATAACTTTGATACGCTTCGATTAATAAAGCCTGAAAGAAGAGAGGTCTATTTGTGAAACTGGATACAAGGAGTGCACAGTTTATGGACCACAAGGACATTCTGCAGAAAACAGACAAACAAGAGACTAACAAAGACTCAGTATGTGTCCTGGAAAGTCTCTACCTGGGAAAAAGATAATAAAAGGACTGAAGAATATAGATTAATTTGCAAGAGAAGTGAGAAATCAATATCCAACAGAAGACAGAATACTAATTAATGAACGAGAATTCTGTAATTTAGAACCAGTGAATATTAATTTGTTTGCTAAAAATTAATATATAAATAAACATAAAAGTTCTGTATCTGCATCTGTGTAGAGGCCAGGATTTTGTCAGCCACACCCACACACTCCCCTCCTGGCCAAGAATAAAGTAATGCCTGACTCGCTAACACTAAAAAGCGTTAGAGGGTCCTATTTATCCCAATGATTTCAGAGCATTTGGTACCAACAGCACCACTCAACTTGCCGTCCCTTGCAAACTTGCCGAGGGTGCACTCCAACCGCTCACCTATGCAATTAATGAAGATACTAAATAACCTTGGTCCCAGTATGGACCCTTGGGGCACAGCTCAAAATAAAAATGAAAAAATGCCTTGCAAAAACGCTGCAGGGAAAAACTTCTTTAACTCTTAATAAATCTCTCTCTCCCCGTGTTTATTATTAGCGATTTCTGAGGGGCTGGCGCGAGCTCCCCGCCCTCGCACCGCGGCCGCCGCCCTCGCGCCGCGCCCCGCCCCCTCGCCGCCGCTGGCCAATAGCCGCCAAGCTCCGCACGCGCGTCCCGCCCCCGGCGCCGCTCTGACCAATGGGGGCGAAGCGGGCTCGGCGCTCTCTCCCCCTCACCCCGTCCCCGCCGTCCCGCCGCCACCCGTCCCTCGCGGAGTGCTCCACTGTGGGCGAGGGCAGCTCCGCCGGGTTCTGCCCTGAGCCCCGCGGCGTCCCGGACATAATTCCGTAACTGAAATTCTCTTCGTGGTGCCTCCACGCAGTCTTAGCGTAGCAGGAGCGGCCCCATGTCTCAGCTGGCTTCACGCTCCTTTTCCCCTTTCCCTTCGCGCCGCTCTCCACCCCACCGAGAGGATCAAAATGGACTCGGCCCCTGCGGCAGCCGCTAACGGCTCCCCGCGGGTCACGTGGGCGGCGCGTGCTCTATATGAGGCCGAGGCGTTCATTCGCCTCGTGCGGGGAGCGGCGGCGCCGTGAGGCGGATTCACGATGAGCTCCGGGCCCGGCTCCCTCGGCCGCGGCGATAGCGTCACTCTGCGGGTTCGCGCCGTGGGGCTGTGTCCCGAGGCGCCCATCCTGCGGCTGTGGGGGCTACTGGGTGAAAGTAATGCTGACTATGCCCTCTTGTACCGAGAGATGCAGACGGCGGCAGGGCCGCGCCTGGCGGCCCGCCCAGAGCCCGGCGGGCCGGGGGCCGGCGGGACCAGGCTGTGCCCAGGAGAGCTGGCACTGGTGGAAGTGTTGGGTGTGTGGTACCGCTGCTTTGTGGTGAGTTGTAGTGCCCAGGGATATCGTGTCTTCCTGCTGGACGAGGGGTACGCGGTGACCACATCTGCCTATTACCTGGCACGGGGCTGCTCAGAGCTGTTCCAGCTGCCCCCGGAGGTGCTGGGCTGTGTCGTGGCCGATGTCGTGCCTTTCCACAGTAAGGAGGGGACAGCAAGTGGGGATTCACCTGTATCCAAGTGGACCGAGGAGGCGATGGAGTTCCTCAGCTTCCTGCAAGGCAAGGAGGTGTCTGGTGTGGTGCAGGAGGTGCTGATGCCGCAGGTCATCGTGCTGGAGCTGCCCCAGCTCGTGGCTCAGATGCAGCAGCTGGGCCTGGCCAAAAGTGTCTCTCCCAGCTGGTTCTGCCAGGTGCTCAAGCGCTGCCTGCCTTCTGGCCAGTTAAAGAAGCAGCTCTGTCAGCAGCCTCCAGCATGTTCCCTTGGAGCTTTTGTGGTTCCGCAGCTTGTCTATGCGTTCTCATACCAGCCTCTGTCACCTGCCTTGGATTACTACTACCCTCAGCTTCAGTTGGGTGTGACAGAGCCTGTTCTAGTGACCCATGTCTCTGACCCACACCACATTTATTGCCAGTTGCAGTGCCTGTCACAGGAGATCTCTTGCCTTTCTGAGGCCATGTGCCATGCTTATGACCGGTGGGAGCAGGACTTACTGCCCAAAGTGGGCTCACCCTGTGCTGCCCGTGGGATGGATGGCCAGTGGTACCGTGCCATTCTGCTGGAGTTCGTTGCTGGGGAGCAGGATCAGTGTGCAGCTCTCGTGGTCTTTGTGGATTATGGCAAGAAGGAGACTGTGACCACAGCGAACCTGCGCCATTTGCCTGCCGAGTGTTTTCGCATGCCTGTGGTCACTTACGTGTGTGCTCTCCAGGGGGTTTCAGACAGGGGTTGTGGCTGGTCCCCATTGCAGGTTGATTTGCTGAAAGCGTTGGTGCTCGGCAGAGGAGTGAGCGCTCACATCAAAGCCTTTAACTCCTTTGAGCATCTCTATTATGTGACTTTCTATGGGGAAAATGGTGTTGATTTGAACCATCTTTTTGGGTCTCAGGCTTGCTGCCTGGCCAGCAGTCATGTGAGCCAAGCTGAGGCTCATGAGCAGCTGGAAGTAGAGGAATCCTTAGCTGAAGAGTTGGGATTACCACCGGAAGCACTTCCTGTTTTAGCACACGGAGAATTGGCTGCTGCTCCTGCTGTAGCTGGTGTGCATCTGAAGACCTGGACATTGTACAGTGCACAGGTCTCCCACCTCCAAGACCCATCTGAGTTCTGGCTGCAGCTCCACGAGTATTACCAGCTCTTCAGGCAGCTGAGGCAGTGCATGTGGAATTTTTATTCCCATTCCACAAAGCTGGATGGTGCTGGGTGGGACCCACAGCCGGGATCCCTTTGTTGTGCCAGTGGGAACGAGGGTGTCTTTTATCGAGCAGTGGTTACCAGGGTACTGGACACTGGAGTGGAAATACACCTGGTGGACAGAGGCAGTACAGAAACTGTGGATCTGTG